ATCAAATTAAAATCTAACACAATAAACAACATCACAAATGAGTAACCAAATATGAAATAGGTACCCATATATGGAATATAAGCATAAATCAACATAACAATAACAAAAATGGACATTAATATCTTTGAGATCAATTAAATGAATATAACATATTGTGATCCATGAAACAAGTTACATAATTACTTGCAAAAGTCACAGATCCAAGTATCAAACTCTGGACCAGCACAATCATAATGTGCCCAGAGCCCACACATCAAGCATTTAATCCAGCTTTCTCCACTTTTATCCACGGAAAAAAGTCTTGAACAGAACATACATTCTGCATCAGCAAAGTCAGGAGGTACTTGGTCCATCAACTCATCATGTTCACTACCTTCATCAAACTGGATAACGTCTAGTTCCTCAGAGTCTTCTTCTTTACTATCATCCTTATTTTTCTTCGTTTGTTTGTTTCTCTTCGCAGTTTTCTTCTTATTCTTTGTCTTGACTAGTTTACTTTCTTTTTCTTGTCTCTTCATATTTTTGTTTTTTAAATTATTTTTGTGGGGAGAAGATGTTATGACTACTGCTACAGCAGCTTTTCTTCCTCTGCTAGATACTTTTCTTCGTTTCTCTGGCACTGGACTTATGGCATGCGGAGACACCAGATCCAAACTGCTGCGATTAAGCCCAGAAGTCGAAGGTGCAGGTATTTCTACCAGAACTTGACCTAATTATGGAATATTCCATAATTAGACACCGACGACTGTCCATATTTGGATTTTTATACTAGTTCATACTCTTCTAAATATTTTTTCAAGTCACAATATTTTAATGACAAAAGATCACAAAATGGTGAAATAAACATAATACCGATATACTAAATAGTATAACACTTATGTATATAAACATAACAGCTGGTAATACTCATTTATTACTTACCTTTAAAATTTTCTGCACGACAACAAAACAAAACACGCCTGCCACACGTGAAGGGTTCGCGCAACTGACTCGATAATGTGAGTGCGATAGTTAGTAGACCGAATGAAACAGAAGATGGTCGAGTGTTGCGTTTCATACTTATAGTCTTAGAGAAATGAAGGAATTCCATATTAGGATACTATTTCATATTTGGTGACTTTCCTCTATCTTTTTTTATGTTAACTTAGAAATTTGCTTTATTCATAGTTTCTGGACTTTCTAGCTTTCAGCTAAGGGACTGTAAACCTAAGTATATGGTTTTAATTTCAACTTAATACCTAGACACGTTTCCTAGATAAAGGTTCTTGACAGACAGACAGACAGACGGAAGACAAGGGTTTCGTTTTTTCCTCTTGAGGTACGGAACCCTAATAAAGAGGTTTGTTAAAAAAATAACCAAGGAACTTTTACATTGACATCTTCATTAAGAACATTTCTGAAGTAACGCAGACGAAGCTTGTGAGGTTGATCTGGTAAATATTTATTTTCGCGACATTAAAGATCTTTACATCAAAGCGATTTCTTGTAGTAAAATAAACATTCTACACTTGATAATTATTTCGGACGAATAAGCAAAATTTATTTGAGTCAAATAATAACAAACATGAAAAGATGTATTTGACGACAATTTGGTTAGAAATATATTCAATAGACATTAACTCAAAAACTCGAATCGAGAAAGTCGATTCGAGTTTATTAAGATGATGAGGTCACGTTTTGGTAATAGTTATGGCGATATTATGATTATTCCATCAGACGATACTTTATTTCTTATCCATATACTAACTACTAGTAATTTCATATGTAAGTTCATATGTAGAGGAAAGTCACCAAATATGAAATAGTATCCTAATATGGAATTCCTTCATTTCTCTAAGACTATAAGTATGAAACGCAACACTCGACCATCTTCTGTTTCATTCGGTCTACTAACTATCGCACTCACATTATCGAGTCAGTTGCGCGAACCCTTCACGTGTGGCAGGCGTGTTTTGTTTTGTTGTCGTGCAGAAAATTTTAAAGGTAAGTAATAAATGAGTATTACCAGCTGTTATGTTTATATACATAAGTGTTATACTATTTAGTATATCGGTATTATGTTTATTTCACCATTTTGTGATCTTTTGTCATTAAAATATTGTGACTTGAAAAAATATTTAGAAGAGTATGAACTAGTATAAAAATCCAAATATGGACAGTCGTCGGTGTCTAATTATGGAATATTCCATAATTAGGTCAAGTTCTGGTAGAAATACCTGCACCTTCGACTTCTGGGCTTAATCGCAGCAGTTTGGATCTGGTGTCTCCGCATGCCATAAGTCCAGTGCCAGAGAAACGAAGAAAAGTATCTAGCAGAGGAAGAAAAGCTGCTGTAGCAGTAGTCATAACATCTTCTCCCCACAAAAATAATTTAAAAAACAAAAATATGAAGAGACAAGAAAAAGAAAGTAAACTAGTCAAGACAAAGAATAAGAAGAAAACTGCGAAGAGAAACAAACAAACGAAGAAAAATAAGGATGATAGTAAAGAAGAAGACTCTGAGGAACTAGACGTTATCCAGTTTGATGAAGGTAGTGAACATGATGAGTTGATGGACCAAGTACCTCCTGACTTTGCTGATGCAGAATGTATGTTCTGTTCAAGACTTTTTTCCGTGGATAAAAGTGGAGAAAGCTGGATTAAATGCTTGATGTGTGGGCTCTGGGCACATTATGATTGTGCTGGTCCAGAGTTTGATACTTGGATCTGTGACTTTTGCAAGTAATTATGTAACTTGTTTCATGGATCACAATATGTTATATTCATTTAATTGATCTCAAAGATATTAATGTCCATTTTTGTTATTGTTATGTTGATTTATGCTTATATTCCATATATGGGTACCTATTTCATATTTGGTTACTCATTTGTGATGTTGTTTATTGTGTTAGATTTTAATTTGATAACTAATATATTTGATTAAAGGCTGTGAATTACTACATATAAATGTATGACGGATTAGTAAAAACATTAAACTGATTTAATTTATATGAAGTTTTTTTTTATATCCCAAAAATAAAATGGTATTCCATATTTGGTGACTTTCCTCTACGGCCGCTTATGCCGCAAAAACGTATATTGACGTACCTACCCGTTGACCTAGAACTATGAAATTTGGCAAGTAATATCGTCCTATACAACAAGTATAGGGAAAAATCTAGACACTCTATATTTGTAATTAATTCATAAAAAAAAATAGTTCTTATTTAAAGTACGTAATTAATCATCGAGGTACAATTTATTTATTTATTTACACCACTTTATGTACTATTGTACAACGGCGGACTTAATGCCCAGAGCATTCTATTCCAGTCAACTTTTGGGTGGTGTAGAAATAGTTAATAGTGGGCGCCATTAGGTTGCATAGCTATTCAACTAAAATATACAATACACATCACTACATACTTACGAGTAGATATATATACAAATATATACACAACCCTTATATTTATACATATATATACTATAAATATTATACACCTATATATATTTTCATGTACAAAAACATACATATCTACATTATATTCGTACACTGTGAATGTAAGTAAATTGATAGGTATACTATCGATTGGATGATTCTGCCATCTCATTGAGAAGGAGGTCGTGTACCTTCTTTTTAAATACGGAACGGTTAGTGGACATCCTGACTTCAATCGCGTTCAATCTTAAAACTTCTGGTTTCTGTCGTGATTAGACGACATGAAACGGAAGTACGGTGCAAGGTAAGTAGGTGAGGATATAATTATATACTCGTATATACATATACATGTATCGAATATGCTTGTTAAACTGTAAAACTGTTGTGTAAAAGTCACACACACAATTTCACTTATAAAACACAATAATATAAGTAAATATAGGTTTTGTAAAGTTAATTTCGGGAAAAGCTCGAAAAAACACTGCTAGTCTTGATTTCTGAACTATTTATAATACGAGTATGTGTACCTACAAATTTGTACGGAACCCTCGGTGGGCGAGTGCGATCGCACATGTTAGAATTTTACTTATTTGGCCTTCTAATTATCTTGGATCATATCGAGCGGAAAATTTACAGAAATGGCTTTTGAGACGTACATACAAAGTAAGTAATGTGGATGAACGGGAACGTGTCGTAACTAGAAAAATAGTGAAAAAAAATTGGCAAAAACCATTTTAAATTATAGATCTATCTTTTCTTTTTACAATGTTGTGGGAACTATAATCGCACTTATGAATATCCTATAATCAATTTATGACATACTAAACGATATTAGTATCGTTTGCCTAATGATGTATAGTGATGTTTAGACATTAAAATTAACATAAAAGTAAACGACTCATAATATTAAAGCGTGATGTCACAATATACACTAATTTTACTTGAGATATATACCCATCCCGTTAGTTTCCAGATAGGTACTGACATTTAAATAGCCACTTCATCAAATGCCTTCTTATTTATTCTGTGTCTGGGTGTCATCATCATCAACAGCCTATAACAGTCCACTGCTGGACATAGGCCTCTCCTTAGAAAGGAGTTTTTGGCCTACTATACCACGCTGGCCAGACTGGCAGTTTTGTTTTTTTTGCGTAGTTTGCTCCCTTAGTCGGCTCTTACGACACCCACGGGATGAATAGGGGTGGTGACATTCCGTATTCCTAATCCGTCACCACAAGGACACGTGTAATTTATCTAAAATATGTATGTATTTAGTGTTACCACCCCTATTTACCCTGTGGGTATCGTAAAAGCCGAGAAGGGAGCAAACTTCTCAGGACATTGCTGTACTCTATCAAGTACAGCGGCAAGATGCCTTTTTTTTTTTTTTTTTTTTTTTTTCCGTGCGGAAATCCCCTCGGATACCACCTGTCGGTGGCATGTCGGACTCGAACCGACTAAAACCGCACGCCTTCGCCGGGTACTAATAGCCGGGGAACCAGGTATACCCTAGAAAGGAAGTCCCTGGTGAGCGGCAAGATGCCTATAAAAAAACCTTTGTTTTAGTTTCCGCTTACTAACAATGGCTTCCAAACGTTTTACGACTGTTGACAACTACAAGGGGTAAGAAGAAGCTGTTCAAGCTATTATTGAGAATAGTGGCGATGACCCCGGCTATGATGCAGCCATTGTACCTCCACCTCCGAGCACGGTGACGGATGAAGAAGAAGGACCTGAAAGACTTAGTAACTGCTTCACTGCTTCGAGATGTTCCCGGGAATGTTAAAGTGTTAATACATAATAATAATTCCGATGATGACGACATGTGACGATGAACTGTTGGTCAATAAGCGACTTCCCAGTGATCAACAGGAACAAATCCCATCTTGGCGTAAGTGTGAACCAACTTCCAAGGTAAATCGAAGAAAAGAAGCTGTCGAAGAAGGACTTAAAGATTTGAATCATACCCAGATATTCCTAAAAGTATTTGATAAAAAGTTATTGAACTTATTATATATAAATATCAAACAACAATCATTTCAGTTAGACGCAATTGAACCAAAAAGTTTATAGGTATTTTGATAATGTCTAGGTATCACGATGATTTGCGAAAACTTGAACATTGTTCCAGTGGCACCATTCGTGAAAACAGAACAAAGAAATGTCCTTTGAAGAGTACAAAAGATTTAGGTAAAGAAAAAAAAAACAAGCTGCCTACAACTATAGATTCGACAGAACAAATGACTTATTAGTAGTTAGATAGAAAGATAACAGCGTTTGTACGAGGGTAACAAATTAAGTTTGAACCACTAGGCGTGGTGGCGCGAAGGAGTCTTTATAGGTATTCGTCTTTTATTCCAGAATTAATAAAGGAATGGATGGAGTAGATGAACTTGACCAATCCATATCTCTCTACAGCATGTGGTGCTGGGTTTTGTTCACCTATATGACAGACATGGCTGTAGCTAATGCCTGGCGTTTATATATTCTTAGCCACGATGATCATATGGACCAGTTGCCGTTTAGGCGCAATCTTGCAAGGTACTGTTTGCGACAAGAACAGGTTCAACAGTGCTAGGTTTTCCGAGCAGTGGCTTAGGCCACTATCCTCTAAAACTTGAAAAAATTGCGTTATTCAGTTTGTCATGCGACAGTGTGGTGGCAATGTAAAACCCGCTCGAAAACACTGTGCATAGAAAGTCAGTCTGCTTTGAAGTTTTTCACCGCTAAGTGGCCGCTGTACTCATACGAGTACACCATTCCAAATCCTTCTTTTTCGTTCTATTGTATTTAATTATGTCAGTAATAATAAAAGAAATAACGTTTTAAGTTTAAAATGTTTCTAGTTTCATTTTGGCGCTTAATGGGTAAAAATATTCACACACGTACAGTGAAAGAGGGTGTTCATTTAAATTTTCCTAATGAGTATAACTTGCCTTCAAGCGATCACTGAAATAAATATGCAAAAATTTGTCCTATTTTGATAAGGACCTGCCTACCTTCGGTTAAAAGTACAAGGAGGATATTGGTGCTAGACTGACAGAGATGAAGAACTAGATGAGATGAGATGTCTATATTTGTATCTCAAACTATCTGTAATCTAACTGCTTCTAATAATAAAAAATAGTAAAGCTAGTATTAATATAAATTAAAATTTAATACATGGGCCACACTGAAAGTTTTTGGATGTGGGCACTTACAATAAAAGAATAAAAAAACTGTTATGGAATTCGAAAATCTTTGACTGTTTTTACTTTTTGTTTATACTGTGACTGTTTTTTCATTGTGACTTCCTTTCTAAATTGTGTGTCGCTATCAAAATGAATGTTCACGAGTTAACTCATAGTTTTTCATGATTTTCGATGTGGCTTAAGTCAACAAGAGAGTTGCCAGACACTTCAATCGGCTTTTGGTGATAAAGCACCATGTCTCAGCTCTGTGTATTCGTGGTATGAAAAATTTAAACGTGTACATAATCATCTCCATGACGAGTCACGTACGTAAAGGACTTTTGGAAATATACATATAATAAATATAACTTATTGCAACTGACAAAAAAATACTTGCCAGCAAATTCGTGTTTTGCTAGGCATTGGTATGAGCCAAGTGCAAACATTTTACAGGTGCATCTGAATGTTCGGAAGCTTTGCACTCGATGGATACCGTAATACAGTGGTTTCAGCGAATGCATTAATTGCGAGGGAATATACTTTGAAAAACAATAAATGTATCGTAAGTCTCATATCTAGTCTGATTTCTCAGAATCCAGCAACTTTCAGTATGCCCTAAGTACCATTGGACATTCAAGACGACTTCAGAGTTTTTTGTTTTTATACTAACAATAATCATGATCTTACACATCTCACACACGGCATTCTGATCCCAAAATAGGCAGAGCCTGTACGATGATAACCGGACTGCTGATAAACATACTTATATATTTCTAAATATGTATTTGTCGCGTGTGGGAATCGGATCCACGACCTCCGGCTTACCAGTCAGGCTCACTAACCACTCGACCAATAGGCCCCTCGTAACACTGTATAAAACTTATAAATAATTAATTATTAGTACCTATGGATACATTTTATATTAATGACTTATTTACTGTTCCTGAACCTTTGTTACCAGACCAATTAATGGTTTAAATTTCATTAATAATACCGACGCCCACGTACAGATAGTTGATCTTCTCATGTCTAGACGTATTTAGGGAGCTTTAAAGACCAATTGGCTCTATTGATTTCAGACATTTCAGACAAATCATGTTTTGTTTATTCAACATAAACAAGATACATTAGATCCTTTCCCGATTCTTTCTTATAGAAGTGTGCATACGCAAATCTTTTCAATTTTCAAGGATATGATTATACATAAATAAAATATACCTAATTGAAGGCTAGATCGACAATCAATCAATAAAATATAAAATACCCATGTAAAATGAAAAATACGCTTGAAAATCTATAGGTTGTAAAGGTACGTTCACAAAATGTTTGCAGCGTAACAGACGAGTTGAAATGCACTGACTGTGCCCTCAGTCTAATTCTATGACAATTCAATAATCCAATTAGGCTTAACGTCGGCTTTGCTTTTATTAAAGCTATACATGAATTAGACATACCTTTTTTAACTTGAGTGTTGTATAAAGGATTATTTAAATTCAAATTAATCAATTTGTTTTTTTATTGATTTTATTTGAGAGAAACGGATTTTGAAATTCTCGCAGCGTCGTGGGTTTGATCAACACATAGGACGACACTTTTTGTGATCCACATATTGTTGTTCTGAGCCCGTTCCATTAGTGTTTGTAAAGTTCCCCGCGACACAGGATATATCCCTAGAGGGGGCGTTGTCTTTCTAAAGTAAAAAAAGCTATCAAATTATGTTACATACATATATACTCGTAGATGATACAATAGGCGACTGGATTATAATATGATTTACATAATTTTTCTTCTATGAATATCTCTTTTGTGAAATTCAGTGCTAATCGTGTAACAATACGAAAACGTGAACGGCTGGCACGTGGAGGTAACGAAGGCCAATCTCAATATACAATGGCATTCGTAACAGGCACATGCTATCCGCTTGAGTTATTACGAGAGTAATATAGACAATCCAAAATCGTCCGTCATAAAACTGAAGTAGTCATAGATTATTATCTACGATTCTATGTTAAGAGACTCGTATGAAAAAAAAATATAAGAATAAATAAAATGAAATGCCTATGCTTATCCTTACACGTGACCCGTCCGTAACCCTTATATGTGACCCGTCTGTTTATTTGAGCACCTATTGAAAAAAAATCAATGAAGTACCTAGTCATCAGAGTTATCTGATGGAAAGTGACTAACGTCGCTCATGAATATCTACGACTCAAGAGTTACAACTGTGTTGCATCTCTTTGAACCCAAGAACTAGCGGAGAGGAGTTTAAGTCTCTGATGATTTAACTCACTCGGTGAAAAGTAACGCAGAAAATACTTAATATCGGTTTTCTGTGAGGTCGTGGTAACACTCCAGCCGAGTCTAATTTAATACACAGACTAACTATCCTTTGTAACACAAAGGATAGCTAGTCTGTGTAATAAATTTCATGCTAATAATTTTATGCTGTTAACCATTCTGAGGAGAGGCCAATGTCCAGCAGTGGACCGTCAAAGGCTGTTGATGTGAACCATTTTATCCAAAGGTCGTAATCGGCCGGAGTCAAGTTCAATCGGAGTTTTATTCATTATTTATCAGCAGCCTTTGATATTTCACTACTGGACATGGGCCTCTGGTTAGAAATGAGGTTTTAGCTTACTATACCACGCAGAACAGAGGGGTTGGTATAGGTTTTGTTACAAGTTTTCGTTCTCTATGCAGTGCTGTTGTCTTGCGTAGTTTGCTCCCATAGTCAGCTCTTATGACAACCGCGGGATGAATAGGGTTGATGATACTTCGTATTCTTAATCCGTTACCACACGGATAATCGTTTTATTGCATCAAGTAAAACACAAAACGTGTTTCCATCACATATTAAAAGTAAATTCAACTGTGTAGTTTGTTAGTGTCCCAGCAAAAAACTTGATTATGTTAAATTATCTTATCATATTATTCTTCAATGACGTCCAAGCATTTTATTACAAAGTACAACTCAAGTAGGACAAACGTAACAAGTTAAATTACACTGTAGCGAACCGTTTCATTGAAAAGACTCAGTTGGTTTTTTTTTACAAAGCGAAACAACCTGTCTCAGTCACATTGCTCAGTTCTCTTGTTTCAAAGCTGTATCAAGTGGATTATTTCGGTAAATTCTTTTGATTCCACATGAGGGTTTCGAAACTTCAGTCGAGACGGCGAGTGTCGGTAATCCAATCAAGCGATGTATTCATGTTAGATTTTATTAACATGTGACGTGTAAAAGTCGTGATTTCCAAAAAAATATTCAATCGGTATTAGTAAATTGAAATTCATTTAGAATATGGTAGTCTAGCGACTAAATTATACATTACACTAATTCCGTTGGAGCGTGTACAAAAGCGCTTTTTTCATTTCATATATTATAACCTATTATCTAAAGAGATTTCATTATTGATTGTCATGCCACGACCAGAATACCACGGAGTACCATGTAGTGCTATTACCTCTTTGTCCACCACTCAGAAGGATAGTCTTAGGAGCCAACTCACCGTATGCAAGTTTGTTAATAGCTACAGTAATATAATCGATAAAAATACTAACCCCATATTCAAAAGGCCATCATAATCGTTTTAGTGAAGAATTCTAACAGCGTTTGTTGGGAGCACATCTATTATGTACTATAATATGTATATGATACGGGACTATTCTAGATAACAAATATTTACATCCCTGGCTGGTGCCTCACAATTACTCGATCAGAGCCGCACCTAAAACCTTTGAATCTACTCTATATGTCTCTATATGTATGAGTCTTTAATATTGCAATTATCTAAATAGTATTCAGTGTATACTGTAATAAAATAGGTGTACCCTTCAAAGTGTCGTGACTTTGTTTCGACCTCGTGAAATGTGAATTTAAATTGTTATTTTGAAGCACCTCTCTTACATTATCAGCTTATCTAGGTACCTTTTAGGCCACAGCTGGTAAGGCCCACGCTGAAATTACGGCGGCTCTTAACTCAAAAGCTTATTACCCGGCTTAGGAGAGGTGTTGTGTTTACTGTACTTGTTATTTGTCTGTACAAATAAATTCCAAACATGATCAATTTAATCACAATATAAATAATACATAAAAATTAAGGTAAAATACAGAAATATTTGCAATGTGAACCATCTAACAGGTCTAATCTGACGGGATTGCGACCGTCAGTATTCGATTTTATTACAGTGTGAGTATGGTGCAGTAATTTATTAGCCAGCTTTATAAAGCCTATGCACTATCATATCCAAGTTAGATTAGATGCATCGAAAATGTGTTTGACATATCACACAACCGTGACGTAAATCCCGTGAATTAACCTAATAAATTCTATGCTGTTTCCCTATTATCAATTTACAACTTTACAGGCGAAATTTTTGACATGAAAATACACCATCAGAATCAGGATAA